TAGGAGTTGATTTAACATAAAAAATGACCCAGGGTAGCCACGATCATCGAGGCAATTGAATCTGGAAAGAGGTTGGAGGTCTCAGAGAGCGAGAAAGACAGCGAGAGAGAGAGAGAGAAGAGAGAAAGAGAAAGAGAGAGAGAGAGAGAGAGAGAGAGAGAGAGAGAGAGAGAGAGAGAGAGCGAGAGAGAGCGAATGATTGAACGACGACACCTTGAATATGTCGTGAATTCCGGATTGTACGGCTGGAACGTGATGACGCATTGAAAATGGAAAAGCAGCTGAATGCCTTTGACAAAATAGATAGAGGCTGCTCCCAGCAGAAAATAGCGCAACGATTCGGTCAGTCGCTCATTGCGGCGGATGCTTTGAAGCGCTAGAGCGGCCAGTCCGAAGATGGTCAAGCCAAACTAAAATAAGATCTCGAAGAGAGTTAGTGCGGGAGGGGGAGAGAGTGAGAGAAAGAGAGATAGAGAGAGAGCGAGAGAGAGAGAGAGTGAGAGAGAGAGAAATCGGTGAACGTACTATCCCCAGAATTATCACATAAACCGTCGGCTGCCACTTACGCATAGTACCTTCATTGACGGTCGGAATGCCGTAATAGCCGTAGCTGAAAAATTACTATCAGACTTTGCAACATTCATGGAACCAAATTGCAGAGTTTTATCTTGCAAAATTAAATAGCATTTGAAATGAAATTTGAAATTTGAAAAATAATAGAATGTGGATTGTTTTATGCGTCTAATTACTTTAAGTATAATTCTTCGTAACAAGAATTCATCAAAAATCTCTTATCAACACTTACTAATACACCCATTCGTATTCGTTGACGTATTCTGGCGTCGTGTGGTCGCTAAAATACGTCGTAGTCTCCGGTATATCATTCACAGTGTCAATGGTAGAATTCATGACCGTCTGAGTCGTTTTTAAATTAGGATATAACGGACTTCTTATGTAGTTTTCAGCTCTCAAAAACCGCCTTCAAAAGGCTAGGTTTTGTGGATAATTGACCCTTATGTTCAAAAGCCGTGCCTGAAGAACAAAATAGGTCCCGTGCTGAATGCTGCCGAAAATTATGGGTGTGCAGTCTAGTTAACGGCCCAAGAATGGTGGAGGACTTTGAAAGTCAGGAACCCTCATTATCGCGGATGTTTCGCGCTCTTCAAAAGTGTTGCTTCCAGAAAATTACATTCTGCTCCGAAGAAAACCAGAAATCTGGAGGGGACGCATTTATCGAGGGCAACAATTTTACACAAAAAAAAATCTTTGCTTCCTGTAGGAAGAGAGCAAGAGGGAGGCCGAGAGACAGAGAGAGAGAGAGCGAGAGAGAGAGAGAGAAAGAGCGAGAGAGAGAGAGAGTTAGCATCGTTTATTTAGATTCAACAAGTTTCGCAGTGGTTTTCTTCCGGTGGCTCAAGCAAGATGGTCGATAGTTTTCAGGTAGGGAGTAGATGACCACGATGAAGCTGAAAATCGTTAATTCCGTGATCAACTTTTGGCAAAACGCCCAAACTTACGGTATCACAATATTAATCATCCAGCCGCTCACATTCTGGCAGATAAATGCTCCCAAATTTGCGGTGTGGTAGTAGCGGTATAGCCGAGGTATCGCAACAAATTCTAAGAACGCCTTGGCCACCCAGCTGCTGATCAGGGCAATTTGGGAGTAGACAAACTGGAAATGGAGTGGTATTTTCTGTCTCTATTCACTCTCACTCTCTCTCTCTCTCTCGCTTTTTTTCTCTCTCTGCATCCTTCTGTGTCAAAGGCTACCAAGACCCACGATCGTCTGCAAGCTGACTTCGCCGTCAAGCTGACTTAGCGGCATTCGTTTCATCGACTTCAGCCGCGACATTGTCAACAGGTTCAGGAACAGGAAGATACAGCTAAAACCAAGCACCGTCCGGTCGAAGACTGAAAATCAATGCAGCTTGTGGTGAAAACATATTACGGCGATCAAGAAGCTCGTATTTCTACATCAGGCCCCATCTACCATTTGCAAAAAGCTAACTGGTGCCGCTATAAAAAAAGTAGTCTAGCGCGCATAGGCAGGGGCCGCCTTCAATGCCAGCGTATAACACCCACCATCAAACAGGGCAAAGTTGTAGTTGGGATTTATGTAGTATACGCTGACCACAAAGTTTATCGGATGAAAGTAGCTGCCGATATAGGCGAAATGGGTCCACTCATAGTCGTCCAGGCCTGGAAATGGGTTTTTAAAGGGACTCGGCAGGTCCCGAATCAGCCCTTTCGGCCAGATGGTTATTGACAACTCCCAACAACGTGCCTTTCGCGTTTCTCTGAGTCTTTAGAACCACTGAAAACTAAACTTACCAGTTCCCTGCTGTAGTATCAGTAAGACGGGAGGCACTCCCAGTGCTGTGACTATGATAGGAGCCGCTAGATAGCTAACTCGCTGCGCGTAGTCTCCATCGAAATGCCAGGTGAAGTATCTATAGAAAGTGGATAACTTAAAAAAGAGGGAAAGGGCGGAGAACGAGAGAGAGAGAGAGAGAGAGAGAGAGAGAGAGAGAGAGACAAGACTAAGAGTGACCGAGAAAGAGAGATAGAGAGAGAGAGAGAGAGAGAGAGATGGAGAGAGAGACAGAGAGAGAAGAGATAGGCATCTCCGATGCTTACCTGTGTAGGCTACCACCCCACGAAATAATATGGTAGCCGTAAGGCAGCGATGTACCAATCGCCGACATCATTTGATTCAAGAAAAATCCACAGTAGGGGTAGTTGATGGTGTTTAGGCAGGAAAACCTGAACGTTTCATTGGTATGTTTCAACTGTTATCGTGTCGTCCAGTAGAGTGAGCGAGAAAGAGAGATGAGAGAGAGAGAGAAAAAGAAAGAAAGAGAAAGAGAGAGATTGCTCGCTCGTTCCTACCGATGATAGGTTTTCGTGTAGTTGCCCTTCTCGTCAAAATTGAAGACGCACTCGGCATTGTAGAACATTTGAATACTTTTGATAATTGACAAAATTGAGGCCGCAAGCAAGTAGATTTTATACAGCATTTTTGTGTCTTCACGCCGGAAGTAGAGGACAACAGAGAGTGGCAGGCCCGTAGGAGGGGGGGGGGGGCATGCCGCCCCCCCCCGAAATCTGCAGATGGCGAAAAAATGATAAGGGGGGACCCTTATCATTTTTGAAAATTTTTGAAAAAGGGCGGTAAACGGCAGATGTTTTTGAACCGCCGCCCCCGAAACCCTTGCCGCCCCCGAAATTTTGGGTCAGCTACGGCCCTGGAGAGTGGTGTGAGGATTAGTCCGAGGACACCGACCTTAAAAAGAACTCTTTGATAAGAAAACATCACGGGATCTGAAAAGGTATGAAAAATCCTACGAAAATCATCGTTACTCCGACTTGAACTTCAGGACGTCTGTAGAATGCTCGCTTGCTGACGATTGCGATACCTTCCCAGTTGTACCTGAAAAACGAGAAGTACCGTATGAATTATAAATAGAAATATAATAATTTTTTAACATTATTTTAAGTAAGATTGTGGTGTAAATTCGACCATAGGTACCTTTTCAGCTGACTCACCACCACATGCATTCCGAGAGAAACGTATAGTCATAGGTTTCTGGCCCCTGGTTGTATGTGCAGCCTTCGGGCGTTTCCCATACTGTGAAATTGGTGCCTGACTCGTTATTGTAGACGTTCATGATAAAATCGCCCCATGCCATTTTTATCCTAAAAAATTGAATGAACGCACTAAGCCAATACCAAATAAGCGTCGAGTACATACGAGTGATGACTTACGAATCGAAAAGAGCAGCAGATTAAGAGAATTTGGATTTAACCAATGAACTAAACGATAATGAAATAAACACAACATTATACTTTAAAGAACGTAAATTTGAATGTAGGTACGTTTTCTTTAAAAAATGTTCTCTTAAAATTGCTACCCAATTCTTTGGTGCTGATTTTCCTAAAGCCTATAATTTGCAAGCACATGAGCCATACTTTTAGAGCAGCCGATTTTCGGTTTCTCAGCAATTTTTGAAGAGCAAGGTCGATAATTAGGGAGGTGGCGTTCTAGCTTTTTTCCGAATTTTAAGAACAAAAACGAGGTTAAAACAAAATAAAATGAAATTATTAAAGCGCAACCAAATTGAGCATCTAGAATACATTTCAGAAACCCACTTAAAAGCAATATTTCGTTCTCGTTAATCTCCCCCAAAGTATCAGGAGACATCAGGGTAGCACAAGTTCTCAGAAAAGGACATAATGACTGCAGCGACCATTGGAGCTCTCGAAAAAAGTGTGCGCCTGTGATCCCCGAACGGCCATTTTTGGGAATACAAAGAGCCTCGTTCGAACGGCCATTAATGATAATCGAAGTTAAAACAGGATTTTCAGTAATTACAACACGAAAAACTCCGGCCGGCTTTAGGACGTGAGCTCTATAAAAGGCGCCCCCGGCTAATTACGTTCGTGTTTCGGACCTGATCATTCTTGCAGGCTTGAACGCAAAGTATTATACTTCTTGAAGGTGCCAGGGCTAGATACCTTTAACTATCGCAAGTTAAGCCACAGGATGCGAATTTTCATCGTTGTGCTGTTTTACGCAGCCTGCATACTCTCCAGGCCCATCAAAAGTCGGTTTAAGCCTTTTGCAAATTTCATTTAGTTTTAGGCCGTCGCCCTGGGATTAGTAGGCTGCGAGGAATTCCAAAATTCCGGAAGCCGTTTTACTTAAGGCATTTGGACTGTCAGCGACTTTTTGATGGAGATGAAAAGTATACACAAAAACTCCTCAGCCGAAGCAGGATCGTCGCAAGAGTAAGTATTGCTTATTACTGGCACGATACGACTTAAGATGTTACGGATTTTACAAATTACGAGAGAGTAGGATGAGACGTAGAAGTGGAAGCGGAGGGGTCGAGGTTCAAGGCAGACTAGCAGAGATCTTTTGACAGCTTTTCAGCCTTTCCTTACTCGTTGGTACCATCGGATTATTTGCCCATAAGCCAGCCAGGTACCTTAAGGCTATGTCAAAATTTCAGGAGCTACCATTCGAATCTGACTGCACCACGGTACGAAGGAGAATTATTGGCGATCAGCCGGCCCCGAAAATCAATTATTCAATCGCATATGCGACAAATGTGTATACGGTACCTTTGTCAACCAAAATTATGGCGATGTTTTCAGGACTACGAATCCCTGGCCATTCAACTGTCTGCCACCTACAGCCCGGAAAATCACTACTGCTATCATGTGGACTCAAAGGCCACTCCAAAATTTAAGAAACAAATTCTAAAGCTGCAGCAGTGTTTTCCGAATATTTATGTCACAAAAGGTAAGCAGGCTAATTGGTGTCACAGTACCTTTAAAACGGCTAGAAAAGCAGGAACCTCCGTTTGAAGGCAACGGCTGCAGGTTGAAATTGTTTAAAAGCTTTTTTATTCGCATTCTCCCTTCCTAGTGTCTTTAAAAAAGCATTTTTCCGATATATCCGCAAAAAAATACCGCCGTTGCGTCGCGGTCGCAGCACTTGCAAATTACCTGGCGTGCACATCGTCTGAACCAGTTTTTTCCAGCCCAATACGACGTGACGAGTCAGGGTAGAAATAACAACATTGCGCACCTGCGATGTATGCGAATTTTACTAACCAAGAAGCGGTGGGAATATTTGATTACGCTACAGGTAACGATGCTGTAAAGCTGCCATTTTAATGTTTCTGTTAGGCCCATGACGTCGTTGTCCATACGAACTTGGAGCTGTCGAAAATGCTGAAGGTCGGTATAGCTACGGATTCTATTTTTTTCGAAGCAACACATACGGCCGCGTTTCAGCTCCTAGACGGCACAAACGACTTCAACATTGGGTCGGTGCTCTGGAATCGGATACCCAAGACTGCAACGTTTTTCATTAGAAACCTGAATTTGTGGACGAAAGGTATGCTTCTATAGTCCTTAGACTACCTTTATTTTCTAGATACCCGGCTATCCGATCTTCAGCGACAACGTGCGAAGCTCGAACTTGCTAGGGGCCTGGAGGAAGCAACGTTCATGTAGTTAGGACTAAAGGAGCTAGGAAGCGTCAAATTCGATCGCAAATTTTGACTGGGTCTCGACAGAGACCCAATCAAAGATAGAGAAAGAGAGAGAAAGAGAGCGAGAGAGAGGGAGAGAGATAGCGAGAGAGATAGTGAGCTATGGAGAGAGGGAAACTAGACAGCCCCTTCAGGCGCGTCGTCTCATTTTTGTCGGTAAATCTTACTACAACCAATTTTTAGGCGATCTGCCGTCCGATGGATGGTCAAGGAAGTCAATATCACTACCCTGATGCATACGTTTAATGGCGGAGTTAGCCAAGTGTTAGATTTTATAAATTTTTAGTCCCACTCTGTCGACGAGCAGCTTTTCGCCTCCCTGGCCGTCTCCGAGAAGCTCCAGATGCCAGGAGGGTACCACAGCGCTTGCCTAAAGAATCGCGATCCGAACAAATTTTTTACGTATATTACCAGGCTAGTTTAAATCTATTTATTTTCAGAGAAGCGGAGAATATATCCAACAGCGTTACTCAAGCTGTGAGCTAAAAAAATATGTTTAGGCACACTCGATGGGTCTGGGAAGGTCATCCGAATTGTCATAGACGACATGATGTCTGTTTATATGGGATTGAAGATTTGTATCAAGCAAGGTGAGCCATGTTCGGGATTTTGGTATTTAAAGAGGAGCACGACGTCGCGCTCCAAATTACGCGCTTTCAGAAAAACTGCACGCCGCTATATTGCACTCAATAAATTTATGGGCTCCTGGGATTTTGCGGCTACCGTATGCATGGCCGAGAGTCTGTATAATCGAACGCATTTTGGGGAAGAAGCATTTGATGCTAAATATATTGCTAACCACTCTGGGGTAAGTCATAGGCAGATACCAAGCACTTTACAAAATTTTACCACCTAGAATCGATACCAGCGCGCCAGGCGACAACCAAGCTTCCGGATAAATAAATTTACGTGCAAGAATATTTGAATTTGTTGACGGAAATAAAAAATGCGTAAATCCCGTATGGTATTTGTTGCTGAATTTAGGGAAATAGATGTATGATTCTTGTCGAAAATAATTTGTACTCTTCGTAATTTTGCGCACCTAAAATTGAAACTAATTTGAGTCTACATAACAACTTTATCATTAAGTTTAGGACCCTTTTCGAAACATTGGCCCGGAAAGTAGATTTTTTACTTAAATTGCGACGTCCAAATTGGAATTTCTTGATCGATTACGGTATCATTTTCGAACTATGCCGAGAACCCGCAGCTGGTTTTTCATTAATGCGAAGAGAGAGAGCGCTGGCCTTTCCCAGCGATGTTTTTGTAGTCTGTCGACCGGCCCCAACCCTCCCACCACATCTGCATCCTCCAGTATGATTTCCCCCACAACAACCCTTCATTCAGATTTTCTTAGCTTTGCCCCTTCAAATTTATCTCTTTTTATATCAGCTGACTCAAAACAATTTAAATATTCTTTGTGAATAGACTCATTAAAGATAACCAAATCGTTACGCCATGTAATTTTTTGCGCAACTATTTCTCAACGGCCCAGATATGGGCGATATCGCGATCCCTATGCGGTTCTTTGTTTAGATTAATAGAAAACAACGGTCCTTTTCTCTTGGAAATAAAAATTATTTGTTAGGTAATAGCCAAAAAAATTAAATAATTACCCTTTTTAATTGAAATGATGTTTTGTCTAACTCCCAAACGTTTGGGTAAACAAAATATGACAATATCTAAAACTATCATTATAGCTCCTGTCGGATCTCGCCTTGGTGGATTATTCCGAATGGTGGCTTCTTAAAAAACCCACCACGAAGATGTGCAGCACTTGTTTTGCTGCGGATTTGAAAAATTTCATAAAAATTAAAAGGTGACTTTTTACAATTGAATTTTGCTACCACGATTTTAAAATAGGAATAACAGTGTCTACACCCCGGTTTTTCAGGTGTACCAGATGCTTTATACATATGGGCTCATAAGTAAAAGTAAGAAAAAAGTTCATGATCAGCGCAGCACTTGGGTTCATAGCAGATGGCTCGTCGAAATTCAAGTAAGTAAGATATATTTGTAGAATTTTGGTTTTTGCTTAGGCTAATGCATAGGCTCAAGCTTATTGTTAGGCTTAGGCTTAGGCTTGGGCTTTTGTTGGCGATACCTGTCTTTACCAATTTCGGGAATCGGAACGACCTTAAAAATCTCCCCTTTAATAAATGGGTTCGCGAATTTAAACTTAAATGAACAAGTTTTAATAAAGTTATAGTGACCAATTTAAATCTGGATAGAGCCTCTTAATTAACAAGATTTTAGGTTTTCAACCAAAGAACTGTCAATGGGACGATATCCTCAGCCAAGTTCGTAAGCAGTTTCGCGAACAGTTTCAAAGAAACCGATCACAAAACGCTACATATTGAGGAAAATGGTAATATCAATTCTTTTATGAAAATCAATGAAACGTTGGCTAAATCAGTCTGTCACAAAATGTTCGTAAAAGTTGTCGGGCCGGCAATTCGTTTCCCTATTCGAATTACTGGCGAATTTAAAGGCACTGGCCTTAGAAATGTGATTTTTCGGTTTGCTTCTGCGACGGCGTTTTACAAAGTAAATATTAGACCATATACACTATTCTTTTAAAGTTGAAAAATGATTGATTTCAGGAAGGAAACACTGCGACTACAACCTATCCCAAGTTATAGCCAGAAGAAAAAAGGTAAGTGCCGTCATTAGGGCAAAATTATACTCTAGATTAGGCTCTTTATTAACTTAACTAACGTTAACTCTCGATTAAATAAAAAAACAAAAAATTGTAAACGGAAGTTTGTACGCTGTGGAACCAAAAAATCGTCAAGCGAATTTTTTATGAAAATCAATGAAACGTTGGCTAAATCAGTCTGTCACAAAATTATCGTAACAGTTGTCGGGCCGGCAATTCGTTTCCCTATTCGAATTACTGGCGAATTGAGAGGCACTGACCTTAGAAATGTGATTTTTCGGTTTGGTTTTGCCACGGCGTTTTTACAAAGTAGATTTTATACCAAGCACATAATTTTTTAACAATGATGGATTTCAGGAAAGAAACATTCCGAACCTTACATGTCACCCGTCGGCAGAAGAAAAAAAGTAAGTGCGAGATTCGCGAGACAACAATCTATTTAATTTCGACATCTATGAGTTTTGACGAAATAAAACTGACACAACTACACGAGTCAACTCTGTAGCGCTCTTACAAGCATGAAAAATTCTAAAATTTAACTATAATCTAGTAACAGGGAAATGAAAACGCTACAGCGCGAAGAAAATCGTAATGCAAATTCTTTTCTTAAAATCAAAGAAATAATCATTCCCTTTTCCATCTTAAAACTAAGGACTAGGATTTATCAAACGTGATCAGGTATATACAAAGTAAATGATTTCAGATTTTGAACTGGAAACGCTATTGGCGACTAAAAACGTACCTGACTGCCACCATATCAAAGAAGGTGTCCAGCATTACCTCGTGGATAGTCAGTGAATCCCAGCATTCGAATATCAAAAGCGTGGAATGCCCGAAAGGGAAAAGGTACAGAAATGTTACTTCATCGTCAGATAATAAAGCGGATTGCCCGAGATGGAAAAGGTACCTTAAATCTGCAACTTTATGAATAATGTAGTTTTAAGGTTTATATCAAAATGCTCCGGCAAATCGGAAAATCTCATGCTGCGCTTCTATTTTTCATCACTCTCTTTTTATGGCGGATGGGTAAGTTAATAATTTTGTTCTATTCATCATTTTGTTCTCAAAATATGATACAGTAAGACCTAATTTTGATATTAAGTTAGTAAGAACCGAAATACTTAATTTTACAAAATTTCTTAGTTGAAGGTAGATGGATCTAGAGGTCCAAAATCAGTCAATCCAAGATACTCGCCAGATCAAAGCGAACATTTTGGTGCACTTTACACGTCTGTAGACCAACAGGGAGCCGAGATACAAAACTTTGGCGCCGGCTGGGGTGGAGGGGTAAACGCACTCTAACCCCAAAAACTACTAAAAATGCTTTGGAGACTTCGATATTCCATTTCTGGACACAAAACCGTATTTTTGGAACGAGCAACATAGCATATGTGAGGTTTTCGAGCTACACACCGCTAATATTTTTGTAAAAACTAAATATACGTTTAATACCCTTAAAAAGCAAGCACAAAAATATGCCTCACCGGGGAATTTAGAAGAATTTTTTATTGAATTTAAATGATTGGATTGTACAGCCTTACTTTATAACTTTACAGGCGATGCTCAACTCGGCAACACAATCATTTCTATGACCAGGAATATCGACGCGCATGGGTCGCGAAAGCTTCACTAATGGTCAACTTTTGGCAACAACCCCGATTGACCGGGAAAATCATGTTAAAACTGGCACCGAAGGTCAACTCTCTAGCTATTTTTTCACTTGAGTTGAATAAACCATATCTTTAAAGAGACTACGCTACACATATCATACCGATAGTGACGCTGCTATCGTCAGCCCGTAAATCACGCGTCAAATTCACATCGGCAGACTCAAGTTAACTTTTGAATAGCTCCGCATGCTCCCGACTTACTATGTATGTATGCAAAAACGCAAAAAAAGGCGTAACTAAACATTTTTTTGAACGGCCGATGCTTATTTTTTTAAGATAAAGGGCCCAGGAAGGCGCAGAAAAATTAGCATAAAACGGGTTTTAGTTCTAAGTTTAGCATAAATCTTCGGTAAAGGTTGCTTAACGGGGGGCAAACAAATAACGGGGATGGAAACAATTTTTGTATTTATAACGAACATCCTGCCATTTTGAAAACGCCATCGGATAGAGCGTCGAAAATTATCCTAATCGATTTCAGTACAGCCCAAAAAACCTCATTTTTAGCGATTTTTCATACTTTTTGGCTTAATAAAGTAATAAGTTTAAATGGTGGTATTTCGGGCTGAAATTAATGCTCTTAGTAAAATTTTGACGCTCTATCCGATGGCATGCTGGAATTGGCACGACAGGTCCATATAGGGGAGAAATGGTTTCCACCCCCGTCATCCCCCCCGTTAAGCAACCTTTACCAAATCTTTGCTGTTCCCTCCTGCTTCGCCTCATTCTCTACCCTTTTTGCATTAGCATTTCCTGTTGGCACACTGCCAATTATAGCTGAGCCCTGATCTACTGGGTCTCTCTGATCCCTTTAATCTTCATCTCTGTCCGGTTTTGCGAACCGACTGATACAAACAAATCAATTAAATTTTAACATCCAAGACTAAATTGTTTTAGAAAAATTTTAATTTATTTGTCATTGTCTCTGTAAACCCCTTGAAGTATCTTTGCTAAATCCCCTGTCAACCTCCAGCTTTTCGTCTTATCATACCGCCATCCACCGCCAAAGCTCCGATAGTCGATAAACTCGATCCATCCCATCGCCTCTCGTCTCCCACGCTTCATGACTACTTGGTATTCAGGGCCGTGGCCACATCGCTGCAAGGAGCAGCTCGCAAAAATAGGGAGCTCCCAGATTGTACGGTTTGCCAGATAGACTGTGAAAAAAACTGCCATTTTTTGTCTTGTATGAAACATTCAAACTTATTTGCTTCTTTCCGTCTCTCTCTCTCTCTCACTCTCTCTCTCTCTCTCTATCTCTCTCTCTCTCTCTCTCTCTCTCTCTCTCTCTCTCGCTTGCTTTCTCTCGCTCTCGCCCTTCCTTGCTCTCTCTCTCTCTCTCTCTCTCTCTCTCTCTCTCTCTCTCGCTCTCTCCCCCTCTCCCCCTCGCCCTCTCTTGCTTTCTCTCGCTCTCGCTCTTTCCCTCTCTCTCTTGCTGTCTTTTATTGTTTTTTACCAGTTTTTAATTTCAGACAGCCGTCTCATCTTGGGTGATTTCACCAAACCCAAGTCGCTTCATCGAACAAGTGACTTGATAGAGGTATCAAACTACTCGATGCCAAATGTTGTAATGGAATAATGGGCAAAAATACCGAAATATCCGAAGCGGTATACCGCAAATTTACGATGAATGGAAAAGCGGGATGATTGGAGCTGCTCGTCAAATCACGCAGGTAATTCCTAATACCTAAATTTAAAACGTAACTTTAATGAAATTAGGTAGTAAGTTAGTAGAATCTTCATAGCAATTTAATCTTTAATTTTTCAAAACGAAGTTGTGTGAGCTAGATCCCTGAAGCGCGTTTTAGACAAGGGGTAATTTCCATCCAAAAAATCTATGCATCCAGTAATTTTTGATTTCTTTGATTCAGAGACCTTTTACCCAGTTAAACAGCATTGGTATGATTATCAGAGTACGCCTTTACAATTATATTTTCTTTCCAGGAGGAATAAAACTGGATGTTGACCTTTCAATCTGTCATCAACTTGCCGGCTATGCCAATGCCCCACGTGACAGACTAGCCCTCAGAGTCCTTCCAAGCTTGGATCGTTAGGTTTAAAATGAAAAAGAGCCAGAACGGCACAAGTGATCAAAACTATGTAATGAAGGAAAATTCACGACATCGATATTGGCTGGCTTGAAAACGAAGCAACAAAATACCTCAAGGATTCCATCAAGAAAACTGCAGGAACCATACCTGCGCATATTCGCTGACGCAAGCAAGGTCGCATACTCGGGAGCTACGCGTCGCTTAACAACTACGTTAAAAGTCGAAAGACCGCGACAATGCAACAATTCAAGCCTGATTTTGGCATCAAAAAACATAACTAATGTCAAGAAATAGTCCAGGACCATCTCGAAACACCCGGGTAATGACAAAATGACAAAGAAAAGAGATACGAAAACCGGAGAGTCAACAGGACCGAGTGAGAAACCCGTATATTCTCCCCTAGGAGCCTGATCTATGAGCAGCAGAGGGCCGAGTCGGAATTACGGAATCTGCCCCGAAAACTTAGAAAGATGCTAAGACAGCTTAGACGAAAATCGACGAGATCCGCTCCAACAAATACAAAATTCAACTTCAACAAAAACTTTTGGCCAATCCAATCTAGCTGCGAAGAAGCAGCAGCGCATCGAGTCGTGCTCAGGAATCCGGAAATTTGGAGCAGTATCACTTGTATAGTGATCAAGGATGAACCATCAAGCTGCTGTAGTGAAGATCCAAACCATAGAAAATTACAAGCCATCCAAGAATATAACACGAAGGTCGGGAGAATATGGGCCCTATAAATTGTTCAAGATCAAGATCAAGTCGCCCAACGCTAAAAACTAAAAAAAATTACTTGAGAACCGGCCATTAAAAATAAATATCTATTTGCGTCAAACTTGTCTTTAAAAACTGCACCAGATTTTGTAAAAACACACAAACACACAGAATCAGAACCATGAAAATTTTTGAAAACTTCCAAAAACTGCCTATTTAATATGATATATTTTCTTTAATAGACGAAAAACAAACGCGATTAACCGTTTATGAAAATTTCTGTGCATCCACTAACGAGAACCTCGCTTGCAGTGACTTTTTCGAAACCAACAGACACAGCTGTGCTTGATTTTAAGGTCAACACCAAATTTCATGCGTTCTCGCCAATGTCTCAAAACTCTCATCTCTCCTAATTGTGTATCTCTTTTAGTTGCTTTGCGGATTTCCCCCTTTTATCCTCCAGCTTTTCGTCTTACAATACCGCCATTCACCACCACGACCCCGACAGTCGATAAAAATCGATCTTGCGCGGCGGCTCTCTATGGTGTCCCACGCCTTATGCCTGCTTAGTATTCAGGACCGTGGCCACATCGCTGGAAGGGGAAACTCGCAAAAATAGGAAGCTCCCAATTCGCACAGTTGTGCAGATCGTTTTTTAACGACCCTTGTTTTGTTCTTTTCTTGAGGCATTAGAATCTGTTTTCTTTCTCTCTCTCTCTCTCTCTCTCTCTCTCTCTCTCTCTCTCTCTCTCTTTCTCTCTTTCTCTCTCCCTTTCTCTCTCTCCCTCTCTCTTTCTCTCTTTCTCCCTCTCTCCGGCTTTCTCTCTATATCTCTCCTACTCTCTGTCTCTCTCTATGTCCCTCTCACTTCTCGCCTCTCTCACTCGCTTGCACTCTCTCTCTCTTTCTCTCTCTCTCTCTCTCTCTCTCTCTCTCTCTCTCTCTCTCTTTCTCTCTCTCTTCTCGTTATGTCTCTATCTCACTCGTTCTTTCTTTTTTTCCTATCTCGCTCCCTCTCTCCTTTCTTTCTCCCTCTCGCTCACGTATTTATCTACGGCGCGAATAATTGCTTTTTAAGTTTTTTTTTACAGTTCCATTTTCAGGCAGCCGTCTCATCTTGGGTGATTTCACCAGACCCAAGTCGCTTCATCAAACAAGTGACTAAATAGATGCATCAAACTACTTGATGCCGATTGATGTAACAAACATGAAAACAACTCCAGCTGAGTGGAAACCCCAAATCACGCCGGTAATCTTTAAGCTCCAATTGTAACGGAATTACCATTATCGGATAGATAAAATGGTACACATAGGATAACGGGGGGGGGGAATAAAATAACGGGGGCACTCATTATTATGAAATTTGCAATTACTGAGGGATTTTGCGAGTGCCATTCGATAGAGCGTCGAAAAATATACTAAGAGAATTAATTTCAGCCCGAAATAATGTAATAGAAATTTTTTATTGAATAAACAAAAAGTGAGGAAAATCTATGGGCAGCACATAGGATAACGGGGAAGTCAAATTTTCGAAATTTTCGAAATTTTTGGTATTTTGAAAACGTCATTCGGTAAAGCGTCGAAAACTGCCCTAGGAAAATTAATTTCAGTCCAAAATAATGTAAATGAAATTTTTTTATCGAATAAACAAAATTGATCAAAATCCATGGGCAGCACATAGGATAACGGGGGAAGCCAAATTTTGAGATTTTCGATATTTTGAAAACGCGAATCGATAGAACATCAAAAAATATACTAAGAGATTTTTTTACAACGCGAATGTATTATAAAATTTGTATTATAAAAGTTTTATAGCCTAAAAACTATTTTTGAAAACTATGGGCAGCACATAGGATAACAGGGGGAGAAAAAATTTTCGGCGTTTTCAATATTTTCGAAATTTTGAAAATGCCATTCGATAGAGGACCGAAAAATATACTAAGAGTTTTTTTTACAGCCTGAAAAAAGCTTATTTAAAAATACTTTTATCATATAAAAAGTTTGAGTGCCCCCGTTATTTCCCCCCGTTATCCTATGTGTACCGATAAAATATCGAATAAATTAAAATCGAAGCTGTTTAATGAGAATAAGGACAAATTCACCACCCCCGCTTTAACGAGAAAACCTTAAAACCAGAGAAGCAAGACGCCGGACATCGATATGGAAAAGCCCAAAGCTTTATGGAGCGCGCTTTAAGGATGCGTATGGCTCCCTCAATGACATCGAAAACTATATAAAGGCGCCGTCGAATGGTCAAGATCTAAAAACCCAGAAAATGATAGAAAGCGAAGCAGTGTTCTAGAATCGGCCCAAAAAAGACTTGATCAATGTGCTCATTGGTAGAAGGTCAAAACGAGTGCTTCAAGTTTGGGATATGTGGAATTGATTTCCTACGAAGAACCGTCAATTCTGAACTAAAGCTGTTTGAGGCCAAGCAAGCTTGAAAGTTTCACAACCACGGTCTGCGATTTACGTGTCGAAATCGCTGTGATTTCAATCGATTGAAAAAATAATCAAAATTTTGATGAATTCGACAATGTCCTGAAGAAACTCCAGATGAAAATGGGCAATTTTAAGGCCAAAGCAGACCAACAGCTTCCTTCTATGCTATCCGAGAAGCCTCAAAAAAACTCTAATGAAAATTTTCAAAAAGCACCAATACGAACGGAGACTGTGCGTCAATATTCGTATCGTCAAGAAGGAAAAGTAGACTTCTCGGCCACGAGATGCTGGTGGATTTGGCCTAAAAGCTACTAGTTCGAAGCTAGATAGCAGAACCGCGGATTCAGACAGATCGGACAAAAAACATACACCAAGATGGCCATCGCCGAATCCCCGAAACTCTTTTTCGACGTCAGCAAAATCCTGGCTGCGTTGCAACCGAGAGTTACGGAAAGCCTGCGAGCCAAGCAGCAAGCCAATGAAGCCAATTATTGGAAGTGATACATCAATAAATGGGACGTGATGAAAACTATAAAAAATGGAGCGCAAAACAAAGGTAGAAAAAAGAATTCGAACTGCAAAATCCACCTTCATGCTCGAAATCGTGATAAAAATATTTTATGACCCTATTCTACATTTTCCGAAAAAGGCACGCAGATAGCCACACGGCCTCGTCACGGCACCTATCAATTTCATGCCAAATTGAATGCATAACGATGGAAAAAGCGTTAGCCCAAATAACGTTCGTATAGTAGACAAAAGCGGCACAATTTTGTCTCCCAAAACGGCAGGCTACTAAATTGCGATAAAAGGCGCGGGATTCACTAAGCTAGCATATCAGGATTTCACGAATTGTCATAAAATGCCTTCGAGGTTCGTCGACTTTTTCGAACCTAGAACTCGGCAACATACTGTACAAAACTCGAATCCCCCGGAACGGCTCCTGGCACGGCGCCAAGTCAAGCAAATTTCGGAAACGGGTTAATGGCCTCACGCTATTGAGTGGAAGCATCAAAAAAATTTCTCTCGGACTCCAAGGCAGCCCGAATGACACCAACATCAACCCCATAAAGGCTGTGCCAATGATCGCCAGAAATGACCCATCAACTAAGGAACCAAGGAACCGACTGGGAAAGGACCCTCTCGAATAAACTGAATTAACTGATATATTGATTCTATTCTAACATCTCTGCCTTTGACGCATCATCGGACAATTATACTTTGTCCTTGGACATCATCAAACGTCTATGTTCTATCGTCGAAGAAAAAAAAGAAGAGGAAAATTGCCAATTCTCTGATGTCTCATAGCGAGAAAAGGAGAAAATCGAGGATAGGGACGTTAACGGGGAAGAAGCATATCGACAGAAGAAAGGAACCTAGAACAAGCCCACTTGCGGGTCGAATTTGAACAACTAGAAACTTGAATTCTTAGACAGACAAGAACAAAGTGAAGAAAGAAAACAAGAATAGGAAAATCAGAACCGAAAGTGGATAAATCAAAAATAGGCGAGGTCGAAGCGCAAAAGCCTGATGATGGTCTGAAGAAATGGCGATTTCTTACAACAGTTAGCGGCATACGACTCCAATAGTGATGTAGGAGGCGCCTGGATGCAGCGTATTTGCAAGTCACAGCCACAGCAGGCTACAAAGCAACAACAACACGATGGCGGATCAAAACAGAATATGCACCCTCTAACTTCTTCAGGGTCAAGAACAAGCCGTACAGCGTTAGAAGCTGCAAAAAATGCTTGGGAGCTGGGTATTAAAAATAAATTTCTATATGCCTCAATCTCTCTTTGAAAATAGCAAACGAATTTGAAGAACAACACACACCATACTTTTAAAAATCGCAGTGAAAACAGTTTTTCGAATAGTCTTGCTAATCAGAAGACATAGATTCGCAATTTTTAACGTTTTTCGTAAAGTCATAAAAATTGGAAATAACGCCGATATTTAGATTAGTTTATAGTAAGTTCTCACATTACGTGCACTTTCTGTATTTCACTCTCTCCCCCTCTCTCTCTCTCCCTCCTCTCTCTCTCTCTCTCTCTCTCTCTCTCTCTCTCTCTCTCTCTCTTTCTTTCGCTACCTCTATCTTTCTCTCCCTCAGGCCATCTCTCTCGCTCTCTCTCTCTCTCTTTCTCTGTCTATCTCACTGACTCTCTCTCTCTTTCCCTCTGCTTGTGTCGGCATCCAGCACAAAGTATGCCTCCGAAAATTTATCTCCTCACAGAAAGCACCGAAATCGTTGGATTGTGCAGGGACATCCCAGTGAATACTGGACGACCCAATACTGAAAATCCGGCGAAATTGGGTATCCTGTAAACAAATCGAAACCGATACCTTTATTGATTTTCTTCTTCAAAAATTCTCGTGATCCCTTGTTGAGCAGCACGGCAGTCATGACGCAGACGGGGCTCTGGAGCACTGACACCAACGCGCAAATGTCGTTGATAACTAAATTATCCTTAATGGATTTACGGTTGCATGCGTCTGCAAATAAGATGAAATAAAGCTCATGGTTGTAAGCCTCGAATCAACACTTTACACTTTGTTTGAGGTGTGTAGGCTGGAAAAGGTAAAATTCGGGTCTGAACGATTTAAAATTTGAGCATAGCAGTACCAATCGATTTCCGATGTCCACAGAAATTTTCTAAACGTCAATTTTCGCGTTATTGCAAAAATACTGTTCTTCCAGCATCAATTAACATCTTCCGGCTCTAAATCCTTTACCTCTGTGAACTCGGTTAAAATAGCTTATTTAGCCAACTGCCAAGCCAAATGGTCAAAACCTCGGTTAGAAACGAAAAATCAAGTTTATCTTTTTAGATTACTTGAAAAGTACTGTAGCTAGCTTGCAGAAACTTTCTGTGTGCACTTTAAATTCCCTTCAGCGCCACTGGGAAAAATTGGAAGTCGATCGGGCCCAAGATGTCGAAACGTCAGCGCGATCATTTTTATTGAGACGCATTCTTGTATAATCGACAGGGTGTATAAAAAGGCCATGCTCACCTTGATTTAGCGCTATGCGTAGGTCGAAGACGTAGGTAAATACGCACCAGGACAATGGGAGCATGTAGAAAACGACGGTTGGTGCGAGCTGAAATGGGAAAAGTCGTCTTTCTTTCTCTCTGGATCTCTCGCTCTCCCTCTCTCTCTCTCTTGTTTTATCTCACTCTCTTTCTCTCTTGCTTTCTCTCTCTCTCTCTCTCTCTCTCTCTCTCTCTCCTCTCTCTCTCTCTCTCTCTCTCTCCCTTGCTTTCGAATCATCTTTTTTGCTTATAACTTATCCTAAACTTTCAACGCAAAAACGTGAAAATCACCTGCAACATGACTCCATTTAGGTATTTCTTAATATCGCGGGCCCGATGCACGGAAATGAGCTTCGAGCTTATTTGTTGAACCATGAGGTAGCTGTAAAAGCCGAAAAAGGCCACATTGATGGCAAATCGGGAGAACATGTCGAGGGTGTTGAGCATCGTCCCCGTCAAGCTCGAGTCGGCGTATAATAGACTGGGTGCGACTTCGGGGTCTCGGAGGCTGGGGTATTCGGGGTGGAGCTGGAATCGGCTTCTAGGTATCGGAATATCTTTGGATGAAGAGACAAAGAAAGAGAGAGCGAGAGAGAGACAGAGAGAAGGACAGAGAGAGTGAGAGAGCGAGAGTGAGAGAGTGAGAGAGAGAGACATAGAGAGATCTATCGATTTTTAGAGATTACTACTAGAGACTTACAGCGATATACTCCTGTGCCGCCGCCGTAATATCCGTTTGCAACCCCATCCCGATCTGTCCCAGTATCCCATAGATTACTATATAGCAGTAATGCGCAAGGATGAACAAATTAAATTTCCGGCCCTCCATCCGAAACCTCGCTCCTGGCATTAAAACAGCGTTCGCGCGATACCCGACCAGTTGGACGCAGGAGCAAAACCCCATATCCATCACGATAAAGCAGCAGCACTGAAAAATTTTTGGTTTTAAGGTTCCAATGGCTTTTAAAATTTTTTGAAACTTCCCAATCGTATTTTTAATTTCTTAATAATTTAAAAAACCTGTTGGGTCCAGTGGCTGAGCAAGCCAAAACTTTCGACAATCCCATGAAATGAGGCCATGTAATTCGGGGTGCGCATCGTTGGGGAAAAGATGAAGCACATACAGGTATCCCAGAGGAGCGTGATTAACTTAAAATAATGAAAATTGTTGAACGAGAGTTAGATAGAGAGGGACAGCGAGAGAGAGAGAGAGCGAGAGAGACTCAATCATCCATTAGTTTTATCCATGAATCAATCAGGGACTCAATCATTCATTACTTACCAAATGCGTCGTAAGGTGATACTTATACTCCCCGATAATCTTCTCCGTTTTTGTCCAAATTATGTAGAACCCGATGACATTGATTGGGAACGTAATTAGACCGATGATATGAAAGATCAATGGCTGGGGAAAGAGGTTATTCGCATAGATATCTGGTGTCGACATGGGCAGCTACGCTGGGATTTTTCAGTGTCATTAGAACAATGTGCACGCCCACTTCTATAATTTGTAAGTCGGCGCCACTTTTCACCTGCAGGCATGTTGTCGGGTTGCTGTGAAGTTTGTGGGCGGCTTGGGAGAGAGAGATAGAGAGAGAGAGAGATAGAGAGAGAGAGAGAGTAAGAGAGAGTGAGAGAGAGGGTGTGGGAGAGAGGGTGTGAGAGAGTAAGCACACCGTCGGGAAGGGGGGCATAACGGGGTAGCGGCACTCCAATTTTTTATAATCAAAATGTTTTTAAATATGGTTTTTTCGGGTTATAAAAAATTAGTAGATTTTCGGTCCTCGATCGAATGGTTTTTTCAAAATCTCGGAAATGTTCAAAACCCCGGAAATATCCTCCCGCTCCCGTTATCCTAAGTGCTGTTCATAGTTTTCAAGGATGGTTTTTGGGCTTTTATACGACAATTTTTCCTGTTGTAAAAGATCTCTGAGTAACCCCCCCCCCCCGTTATCATATGTGCTGCCCATGAATTTTAAAAAATTTTTCCTTATTCAATAAAAAATTTTCATCATATTTTTTCGGGCTCAAATTAATTCTTTCAGTTTAGTTTTCGACGCTCTATCGAAGAGTCTTTGGGAAATCCCACAGTAATTAAAAAATTTTAATAATGAGTGCCCCCGTTACCCTATGCGAGAGAGAGGAAGCGAAGGAGAGATAGACAGCGAGAAAGGGAGAGAGAGACAGAAAGAGAGAGAGAGAGAGAGAGAGAGAGAGAGAGAGAGAGTGAGCAGGGCTCAAGCACAGGATGGGATGCTGACTCCGCCCACTCGGACTTTGGATTAACCCGTTGGGTCATTCTCCATATACGCCTTAGCAAATCGGCGCCTGGCTACGGTTACCGTAGGTTTTTCGGCAAAAGTTTCAGATGTGGCTTTGGCCTTAAGCTCATGTTTTCCTGTTTCAATGATTTTTAATCCGATCTCTCGTTCATTTCCGAAAATTAATCTCTTTTCTCTCTCTGTCTCTCTCTCACTCTCTCTCTCTCTCACTCGCTCTCTCTCTCGCAGACACCGACTCGTAGATCAGACTTTTCCGTTTCTTACCCATTCTTTTTCGTGGAACGTGGACTTTAACGTGCCTTTCAAACGAATGTTTTTCCAGGCCCCCGCCTCTGCTTGGGTGATTTTTCTTAAATGTGCCGCTGCTTCAACCAGCGGCCTTCTTCTGGGCAATCAACTTCTGATTTCCCTCGTCTTTTTCAAGTTTTAAGGGAATTTTGCTGAGATTTTGGCAAGGTAAGTATCAGATTTTTAATTTGTAGGTTTTTATTTCTGTAATGTAAAATTGGATACTAAACGTTTCACCAATCAGAGATACTAGACTTAAAAATTAAGTTTTGAATTTCGCATAAAAAAACTTTTTTTGCAAAAACTCGGAAGCTTTGTCAATGAGATTTTTTTAGAAACCGGCGAGTCCGCTGGACCAGAAGACGTCGACGGGCTTGTAAAATGTGGAACATTTTGGTGAGCTAATTTTTGATAGATTTACCAATAGTCAAGTCTTGGTTTTATTGACCCCTTTTAAAAACTGATTAAAACGCGCAATTTTTTAGGTGTGGTGCCGCAAAACGCCGAATCTCCGATGCCGTTTTGGACGCGATCAAATAGAAAAATTATGGAAATGTTAGTTTTTTTTGCTTTTTTTATATCCGAGCAAGCTAGAGAAAGCACGTAGAGCAAACTTTAAGTAAGCTATTGAAGCCTAGTTTTGAACGAATAGAAATTATGGAAATTAAGAAGCTAGCCTTTACAAAATTCATAAAGCAAGGCCGATTAATTATGCTAATAAGTTTTTTGCAAAGGAACTGGGGCCAAACTTATGTTTTTATGCCACAGATTTGGTTTATGCTTTTGCTAAATTCATAAATGACTGTGCCGCAAAAATTGACGATCGGCGAAAGTATCTTTGGAAAGTATCGACCAGTCAGCTACGAAAAGAAAATTAATTAAGCTATTTTTACCAACAAGATGAGTCAGATAGGCTAGCCGATCGATCAGATAGAGAAGGTAACCAGAGCTATTTCACCGGAAAACCGTTAGAGCGACCGGAAGGTCGGGAGTTTGCTTTGATTCAACCACTTAACGCCGACTTTCCAGACCATCGCCCTTCGCCCCCACCGCGACTACAAAAGCAACTCCGACGAGAAATCCAGAGGAGAAAAGAGGGAGGTCCCCGACCATTTTAGGTAGGAGATTTTGATTTTTATGATTACGATTTTTTGATGAAATTCGTGTAGATCCAATGTGAAGTAAAACCCGGGCAACTTGGGAAATACAGGAAAATCCGCACAAATAGCAGAATCGCAAAGCTAAAACTTTAGGTCAGTTCGGAATCTGCCAAATCGCGTTATACCCCGGCTAATGAATAATTTCAGAAATGGCATGGTGCAACGTGATGATTGGGCTGGAGCACTTGTGGAGAAATAGATAACTTTCGGTATGATTCAATTTTGGAAATGACGTAGTTTTTCGCCCAGTCCCATACAAAAATTGCAGGCCATTGTCAAATTTTTCAATTTTTGATAATTTTGAGTCGAAGGGTTTTTTCGATGGAATAGAATGACGATATTCTGTTTTAGAAAATCAAGCAGGAAGATCAAAATAGGCGAGCATAAGGTTGCCATTTTTAGCTTAAAATGGACCTAAAAAACTTCATAAATTTTGAATCCAAACTATTTTGCGGTTTTTGAAAACAGATTCGGAATCAGCAAAAACTTTAGCATAAGATGTGCTAGGTCCCGTTAGAAAATTCCGGCAAGACTCTAAGACAAAGGGCGCACGGGTTTTGCAGAAGCCCAAACCGAACGCCAGACCACTTTAACATACCATTTCCAGATTTCACCACTTCTGCCGCCCACACGCCAGCGTGAATAAGGGACATCACCTCTGCTTTTTTATGGTACAGAAATAAAGTAGTTGGGCGAAGAGTTTGCACGAGTCGGGCACAGCAACTTAAACCGCACTTCTTAGAAGTTTATTGGTTACGCGGCAAACATTTGATGGTATTTAAGGCACAGACAGTCAAATCATCACCAACAGAAATTGTAGCCTGAATCAGATCAAATAAATAAAATTCCTTGCAATTGGTCCTATTTTTGTGGGTTAGTCTCTGACCCTCTACTTTCTCACTCACACACACTCTCTCCCTCTCTTTCGCGCTCTCCCTTTCTCTCTCTCTCTCTCTCTCTCTCTCTCTCTCTCTCTCTCTCTCTCTCTCTCTCTCTCTCTCTCTCTCTTCTCTCTCTTTCCCTCGCTCTGTTTCCCTCCTTTCTCACTCACACACTCTTTCTCTCCCCTCTCTTTTTCGCTCTCTGCCTTGCTCACAATCCTTTGCGTTGTAGCGATGTCGAGAAGTGGCTATCTACCGATTGCGCAAGACGCCAAATCACATTTCACCACCAGTTTGGTCAGCTTACGCAGACTACTCGATACCTCGCATCTGTTCGCAGATTAGGATCTGGACCCATTAGCTTGGGAATTTTTCGGAGACATCTCTGACACGTGCTTGGGGCCGACGGCTGCTGGCCTTTTGAAAACTGCAGGCAGATAGGCGGACAGACAGGCACACTTTGCATCGACTAGTCGGACCAGATAGTGAGTGCCCACAGTAAACGAAAAAGGGCATTTGGGGGACCAACAGTAAACGCTAATCAGTTCTTTCCCAGATTAAGTTCGGTAATCTAAATGGTTTTGCTTCTAGGGGCATCAAACGATGCGGTATTAAATTAGAGGGCTCTTAAAACGATTCATAAACTGCTCTGTGAAACAGGTTTCTTAAAATACACTGTCCGTTTTCCC